AATGAGATGAACATGAACAAAACATGTATTATTCAAGTATATACATATATATATGGTAACAATTTACAGTGTCTCTCTGTTTGCCTATCTGTATACTGTGTGCGTATACGCGCGCATATATTGGCCTTTATAAACTTGACTTTTTCTTAATAGATTGTCTACGCCAAATTAGAAGCGATTGAAAGTAATTTTATTGGATAATTTTAATAGTAAATTTCATTTTTGTTTTATGTAAATTTCTTGGGTAAATCATATATTAATAATGATTATAAAAATAACTAATGACAACAATAATGGTGCCTACATTTCAAGTAAATGATACTAATAGTGATCATAACAGTAGTAGCATTAGTGTTATTATTATTATTATTATTATCAGTAGTAGTAGTAGTAGTAGTAGTGGTAGTAGTGGTAGTAGTGGTAGTAGTGGTAGTAGTAGTGGTAGTGGTAGTAGTAGTGGTAGTGGTAGTAAAAGTCATCATCCAGAAGATACAGGCGTTTATTAACAATTGTCTACGCAAAATACTTCGGATCTGTTGGCCGGACACTATTAGCAACAACCTACTGTGGGAAAGAACAAACCAGATCCCAGCGGAGGAAGAGATCAGGAAGAAGAAACGCTGGAAGTGGATAGGACACATATTGAGGATAGCACACATCTGCGCCACAAGACAAGCTCTCACATGGAATCCTCAGGGCCAAAGAAAAAGAGGAAGACCAAAGAACACATTACGCCGGGAAATGGAGATAGACATGAGAAAAAATGAACAAGAATTGGATGGAGCTAAAAAAGAAGGCCCAGGATAGAGTGGGTTGGAGAATGCTGGTCTGTTGCCTATGCTCCATTGGGAGTAACAGGCGTAAGTAAGGAAGTAGTAAAAGTAGTAGCAGTAGTAGTGTTGGTGTTAGTAGTAGTAATAGTAGCAGTAGTAAAGTAGTGAGGAGCAGTGTTTCTGACCCCAGCTAAAGATTCAGTAGACGCTCAAATTCTAGATCAACAGGCTGGCTTTCATTAGAATCAATCACATACTACCATAACATAACCAAACACTACCAACTGATTTCTATTGGTTGTATGAATCTTCCCATTGATGCTTAAGACCTTAAATGATCAGTCTATTTTCAGCATATGTCTACTAACACTAGCAATACTGATGAATGTTTGGATGGTCTAAAATAGAAGCACATTCTGAATGGGGATAGTAGATTTCAATAAGTGATGGGAAAATGTAATTCAACTGTTCAGTTTACTCAGTATGACTATAATTATTTTAACGAAGCATTCGACATATATTACCCTGTTTCAAAGTCTAGACCTTGTATGGCTTCGACTGGTATAATCTTCTAATCTAAAATTCAATAGGTGTTTATTTCAATGGTTTACCGATTAACATTAATTTATGACGAAAATGATCTCTAAAGTGAATTACACAAATTTTTTATGAATTCTAGTCAACAGACTTGTTAGAATTTTTCCTAGTGTGTACAGATGCTGAACAGAATATTGTGCAACTGTATCCATAAAGGGTTTATGATGATTGTTAAGTTTTATAGAGTAGACTGTGAACTGATATCGGTTATACAACCACCGAAAACCAATAAGCACTAAACAGTTGTTTCATCCTAGTATGGGACACCTCAGTAGTGTTCAGCCACAATCCTACTTAGGATGCGTATGTTTCTACATAAACCTCTATTAATGCTTAAGATTGATTTTGTTCAAATTCGTGATGTAATATTCAAGTCTAGTTAATGGTTGATAGTTTTTCTACGTAAGTATGGAATTCATTTATTAGGAGACATATCGAAGCAGTGGATAGTTTACATAAAGAGCTATAGAGAACTAGTTGTAAACAATAGATAGAGGGTATAGTTTTAATATACAACATAATAGAAAGCTTCATACACATTTCTTTATTTTTTGTAGTTGTTTAGTTTGATTTGTTGTTAATGTGATGATTACTATAAGAATACAATAAAGATAATTACTATGAATATAGTTTCTAGTCAAATTTCACCATCAAGTGTTTCATGTATTTTACTGACCACACCCATAAAGTTTTGGTACATTAATAATTTTATACATCCATCAGCTTCTGATCAATACCTTTTACTCTTCTTTTTTTATATACAAAGTCTTAATATTACTAAACTAATATCAGATATAAGTTGTGTTGTGAGTGTATATTTGGAATCAGTCCAATTTATACAAATTAAACGTTGATTTATTCTTAAATATTTGTCATCGTTTTACATTTCATAAGAAATAATTACTGTCTACAGCGTAATTGATATTAGTATCTACACAATATGAGTAATAATTAATCACTGAAGGCTATTTTTAAATGACTATATGTATATCTAGGGATATGTTTTTACTCAAATGTATAAATTATCTCAATGTAGGTGGTGAACTGAATCACAATGTACTACTCTTGGCAGCAGTAGTAGTAGTGCTATTTTGTACTATACACTTGCTTATTTACTTACATGTGTATACAACTATATTTATATACATAATGCAATACAATAGTACTATTAATAATAATAATAATAAATGTTACTATTAGCCATGATATATTTAAATAGTGTTTTCAGTAATTCACTCTTTTCATACAATGATGAACCAATAATAAAAGTACACAATACTAACAAGTTCTGATAGTTATCTTGTGACTGATTGATATGATGTGTATTTTCTTTTTATTTATTACTGGCTAACCATCTTTCTTTTTCAATTAGATGTACAATAATAATAATAATAACAGTGGTGCTTTTATTGACAGATTACAATCGCTGTTGTACTTACGAGAAAAAAGAGTAGTATATCATTAGAAAATCTCCAGTCAGTTTTACAAGTTCTTTAGTCAACTACAACAGACACAATTATATAAAGTAATTTTAAAATAGAGAGAGAGAGAGCGAGAGGAAGTGAGAGAGTGAAAAAAGAAGTAGAGAAATTAATTTAAAGCTAATTTGACGTTTAAAAAAACTGAAAGTTTTTGGATTTGTATGATTCTGTATGATGTTTTTATCATTCTTTTTTCTATGTTAATGATATGATGAGATTTGTTTCTTTGCATGTGTAAACATTCACGTTTGTACAAGATTTCATCATCAAATTACTGTCTGATTGATTAATTATATTGTTTCAAAGATAATTTATTTGGCAGGCTATGGTCTGTATGTAGACTGATAATCTGTAGAGTAGTTATTATCAATATTCAATTTTATTCAGTTCTCTGTAATGATGATCAAATCCATTTGATTAGAGACCATCTCTTATTTTTTATTAGGTTTAGATACACGTGTAATTTCAAACCTCTTTAGTAATTTAAATATAGAATTATGTATTCTGTTGTACATCAATTGTTTTTTTTATGAGGGAACTAAGGATTCCAATGAATTGTCCAACTTGGAATGCATGGAAGAAGGATGAAGCATGTCATTAATTGTTTTGAAAGTTAGGTGTTTTGTCTGTTAGCCTACCAACCAAACATACCGGGCATACATTGTGAAGACGAGATATTTAAGTCTTAACTGCTAATACCAGATGAAATGCATTGGCTGCACAGTGGGCAGTCATTAACATCATATCATTATGCTATGCTAGTTATCAGTGTTATTTGAATTTTATAACATAATGTCTATAAAAACTAACCATATTTGACACCAGGTTTTATGAAGAAAGCAGAAAAATGGTCATATGGTCATATGTGTATGTTAGGATACTCTGAGAATTCTTCGATAGTCTTTAGAAGCCAAGAAATGGCTGAGTACTTTTTGTTTGATCAACATACACTCTATAAAATTACTTGACTGGGTTTCACACTATGATTAAATGATTAATTACTTTGTTACTATGGTTAGCTTGTTTCTAGAGGTTTCTAAAGGTTGAAGGTTACCAACAAACCTAGAAATACTGCGACATTTTGTACATAAGTATATCTTGAAGTAAAGCTTCTGTTCCTGCTGCTTTCTTGTTCTCCACCACTCGAGGCTCATGTTCAGAAGAATCATGGGGATTTAGGAAGCTGCTGGTAAGCCATTATCAATGTTTCAAATGGCAGACATATCAGTATATCGCATAAAAATTTGTTATTAAAAAAATGTGAATAAGTATAAAACTTAATTTGCGGCTTATTTTCCGAATACTTCCAATTACTAAAACGACTTTATTACTTAATGGATTGAGTATTAATCTCAAATATTTATTGTTGGTTTTGAATATAAAACTCTGGATTTAAAGACTTGATAAGACTGGCGTGTTCATAGAAATAGGTTACTGAAAATCAGTCAATATCTTATCAAATAATATAAAGTGGAAACACATTTTCCCAAAAGTTTGTTGACACGACTTCCTGATGGATGCTAAATAGGATAAAATCTAGTTTATCGGCTTCTTATCAATTGATCTCAACTATCCAACATCAAATCCATTGTATTGTTATATGAAGTTAATGTATTTAGTGATTATATATATAATCACTCATAATTACTCATTGACAGAATTAGACTAACATTAGGAACTAAACAAGATAACGTTGGTTATCATTCAGTAATTGATTTATATTGATAGATATACCCATGTGCAGAGAATACTTGTTTTTTGTTCATTTCCATATATCAGTATTAAATAATTTTGAAATTAAACACTTTACTGGGTAACCCGTTATTGAGAAAAAACGTTTTCAAAAATCTTCCATAACTTCTCATTATACTCTTAATGTCTGTACAGACTTTTCATTAAATGACAGAAAAAAATATTCATAACTTAAGAAAGTAGTTTCAGTTATGACGAACTAGTGAAATTATCTAACATTATCTGTTGAACTTCCATAACTGTCTGTTTAATCAGAAGATTGAATGTAAATGACAACTAGTGTCTCATATGTTGAACAGTGAACTTATTAGTTCCTCATATTTTTCCGGCAAACTTTGTTTTTTAAAATATTTTGATCACAAATTCTTTTTAATTTTAAATTTTTGCATTTTAACAGATAACACAAAACCGTTGTTACAACCCGCTATGAACGCTACTGATTCCAACAGGGTTGGTACAGTGTTGGATTATATACCGAAAAACGAATCCAATTTGTATCAGTCGATATTAACAAGCGAATCAGCAGGGTCGATTTCGTCCTCTCTTTCATCACTGACATCATCATTACCAGTTATGTCATCAACATCAATTTCTTGTTGTACTTCAACTTCCACTTCTTCATCGTCGACCTTTCCATCTATACCAGGAGATAAAGAGAAGTTGGCACAAGATCTTGTCAATATGTTTTACTGTTCAACATTCAATTCATTCGGCCAACAGCAATCAATCTCACCCCCTACATCATCCTCATCATTAATGCAAACGTTTACTCCGCAGAATTTGAATGACTTCAATTCTTTTTTATTTAAACGGCTGTTTTCAGATAATGTTTTTAGTCAAACGATGAATTTGTCAAATTCACTATTGAATTCATCAACATTTTCAAAATTCGTCCCTTCTGCACTGCAATTGTCTACATTTATGAATTCTTTAGGTAATTTTAATTCAACTCAATCATTAATCAATTTAACATCTACATTGTTTCCACTGTCTACTAACCCATCAGTAGTGTTTTCTTCACAAAATGCTAACTCTTTTGAAAATTCTGATGCAAATGTTTCAACAACTGGATTATCTTCATATATTCCATGTACAACATCTTCATTGATGCTAACGGAATTTCAGAAGGATACTGTTGAACAACATTTTAAACAAAATACCAATAGTATTAACGATAATCACAATAATTATAACAATGATACACTTATTCCAATCTGAAAATTTTCTGCTACTGTAATTTCTGACACTTAGCTTATTTTCAGGAATTATGCATATATATATAAACTTATGTACATAAATGATACGTGAACTGGAGGAATTCTCCGGTATTTTAGAGATCTATCTAAGCTATTTTGCCCACTTTCTATTTCTTTTCTCATTACGAACAATAAAAAGGAGTTATACAAATTGTTGAATTTGGTTGCTGACTAACGTTAATGAATGAGCAATACGACACAAAGTTTATAAAATTATGAAATTCTGTATGTAAATATATATTTAAGTATTGCAAGGCGGAAAAAGATAGATATGTATAAAGTAACTATATAGAAGTAATCAGTTGTGTGTTGTTGCTGAATAATTCGCAAATGAATATTACTTTTAAATGAATTGATATCCCTTCACTTTCATTTACCCCTTTCCTTATACGTTTGGACACATTTTAGATCAACTACTAAATTGAGTAGTATGATTTAGTTTTTTTATATACTAGTATTTTTATGCTAACTTTAGATTGGAACGTTTCCTAGGCATCTTCATCTTCATGGTCATATAACAATGTGATTAGTTCGGACGGTTTTTTATGCATTTTCTATTCTCTGTATGATGTAACATATATTGCATAACATCCATTAATCAGCATGTCAGTAAACCAATATATGTGTATAATTACAAAGAACACAAGCTGATGACATTTATTTCAATCCCTATCTTGACTACATGTGTTATAAACAAAAGTTCTTTCTTCATCATGAGTTTTTTAAAACTTCAATAATCATTAAACCGAATGTCAGCTATACTGGTTCGTTGTTGTTATATTTTGTAATAACTTATGATGATTCCGAATTCCGGACGATTGTGGGGATTCTTCTTATACAAACGAGGTATATGCCAACTAAGCTGACGAGATTGTTGATACACAACACTTCAACGATCCCAGTAAAAAGCTTACCATTCAAGAAGTCAAAATTGTATTAGAATAACTCTGTTTGTTTAGTAATGAATATACCCTTGGGACACAGGAAAATAGCAAACTGGAAACTAGGACAACCAATCAGATAACAGCAAAGGTTGGTGGGAAAATATGAATTGGAAAAAAATGTTATAATTGTCTTCCTTACACATCAGAACAAATATTTATGAATAAAAAGAAGAAAACGGAATGAATTTAGGTTTTCCTAGCAATTATTTAGTGGGATGGTCTGTAGAAATTAGTTTAATACTAAAATATTTCTAAACAACGGTTGAAAAAAAAAACTACTAAGAGCTGGAATCTATTCAATCTTAGTTTGAAACTTCTTAATAATGTATACCTAAGACCTCATATTAAATCTAATTCATGGATTTCAGGATTCAAAGAAACTATAATGGTATTATTTACTAATTCAGAAATCTATGGAACAAATTTTCCCACTCCAGTCAACTTGTGATATAATAGACCTGTTGAATCCTCAGTATTATGTTTGACAGTATGGCAAACTACCAATGTAGTTCTCCATAGTTCCCAATAGTTTTACATCATATATCAATTCATGAAGAATACTATCCTCTAATTATTGTCCATGATCTTGTCAATCCACCAAATGATACACTAAGATGCAGATAGGATAGGTTTTTGTCTAAGTTGACTGAAAATAACACTGTTCATGATGTAGTTTGAAAGAGTTAATCAATAATAATAAACATTTTGAACAGACTTAAAAAACAGCTAAGTAATCAAACCAATTAAATCTGAACTAATTATATGAAAAAAAGTTCGAACCTTATATCTATATAAGTATCTGACTAACACCAATGAATCCCACATCAAATAAATCAGAGGAATCACAACTCGAGTATACAAACTTGTACTTGGTTTATTAATCCATAACATAACTGACAGGTTATTTCAACAAATGAAACAATATTTTGGTCTGCTTTATTTAATATAACATTTACAAACTAGGTATTTTTCGCAACAAAAGTTCAAATAACTATAGGTGGAAGTTATATTTCAGTTTATTTCAGAGGTTTTCTACCGAGTAGTGAATTTTTACAAGTTTTAGCTTTCGTTTAAAGTATACATGAAAATTAAAAGTAAGATAGTGAAAAGAGAAACGTGTACATTTCTGAAATACTAGCATCAAATAGTTATTTTAACTCTTCGTGGCTAATAGACTAAAGTGACGTTTTGGTTTCATATCAGTGTGACAAAATAATAACACGTTAACTGAGAGATATTACAATTTGAGGTATGATCACATTTGAATCTGTAACTATGCGCTGATGAAGAGTCTAATGCTCCTTAGTTTTCAACCACTCCTTAGACACTGTAAATCACTGGTTAGAAGATCATTAGATTTGAGTTCAATTTTACTCAGAAAATGTGGTTGTTAAATTTATTCTTATTATTTATATATAATATAAACCGTATGATTTTATGCCGTTCACTTAATGAAAATCATCCCTTTTTTCAATGCTTGTCAATGGTTTGTAGAAGTTTCTATAGGAATTTAATGTGAATTGTGGAATGACAAGTTCAGCTTTCACTCCTTAAATGATAAATAATGAGTTATTTTCTTATCAAAGTTAATTCAGTATGAAAGTCAGAATTAAAACAAACATTTGTCTTGTCTTATTTATTTCCCACTGGTTTTCTGGAGTTGATATTAATCGTAAAAAAATCTGTTTTGAAATTAGAAAATATTGCTGATATTAACCAGAATATTTACTGTGTCGCACTCAGCACATTTGATCATTTTTCCGTTCATTTAGTAGATGACTGTTGAACATTATGGAGTAATTCCCATCAACAATATCATTCTAAGCCCCAAACTTTAGTATGTCTGTATTTTTCATCCAATAGTCGGACTACTCTACACTGGTTTTACTAATGTATGATTTTACAGTTACTTGAGATGAATTATTTACTGGAAATTTAATTTCACTCACTAAATGAATAGAAAAACAACTGGAAGTGTTAGACATGACTATTCAGTGAGGTGTGGTTGATCTCAGTCGAAAACACTGAATTAGCTAACCTTCACTCTTTAATAAGTGTGTGTTACGCCGATCATCATTGTAATTAATACGAATTATCTATCAATTTTTATGCTCAAGAATATAACGACTATATATTGTAAATATTTATTTGCCTGTCTTAACCTAACCAGTATCATTTTTTAAGTAGTTTTCTTTCTTCCTAAGCCATTGTTTATTTGTTTTCCATAAAATATGTGTGTGAGTTGAAACGGCAACATTAAATTAAACAAAACCAGTCTCAGTTCATAAATGATACTTCAGTTTTTTTTCTCGATCATATCCGCTTCTTTGTTCAAATTGTTACACATAGGGTTTATTCAATCTATAGCAATGAGTAACAATTTTAACATTAACTATTCTGACTACTAGACCAGTTGAAAAAAATTCCTGTTTAATGTATTGGAATATTTTATAGGCTGAAATAATAATTTGTTTATCAAAATCACTCGATATTTGAAGATGATTGGAATCATCTGTTGAAAATAAATCAGTTTGATGGTTTCTAAAGTTTTAATTAGAAAAAACTGTTTTTTAATATCCATTTAAAATATAATATTAAAACAAAATACGATTAATGGAATCCGGTTCCCCATAAATGAGTGAAGTGAATGAAATTGAAAACTGATGATCACCACTTTGAGAAGCAACCCAATATATTCATTATGTAGTAACGAACTTGTATGTTTCATTCTCCACATATTCGTCTTAATTTTATTTATTTATTTAAACACATAAACACTGGTACAAGGAGGCATCAAATAGATATGCGCCACTTAAGTCATTTGATTTGTGTGTGAGCTCTGATACTACCCAGGTGCCCAAACCGAAGCAGGCGGTTTCCTTAGGAGGCCACACTCGGAGCCTTCGATCTAAAGGTCTAATCCACAAGGCGGTGAAGCAACGTTAGGAGGTGTAGTCCCATGGTAGGTGGTGACCAACAACTGGTTCATACGCCATTTGTTCCTTCAGGATCCTGGAGCCTATGTGCACCATTGGTTTGGAATCAGGGTTTTCCAACTCCACTAGGTGGATCCTCTATATCCACCAACCCGGTTAAAGCGCCGGAAATTCGCTTTTTTCCCTCTCAATTTCGTAAACAATAGTAATAGCGCGAGAAGGCAGTGAGTAGGCCATGGGTTACTAATGAAAAAAGCTGCATTGTTCTAGTATCGAAGTCGACAGAAGTGGGCACTTTCAACCTTACTAGGGATCGGAAACACGACCTTCAGGTCTTATAGTGAATACTTTACCACTAGGTTTGAGTTTATTCGTACAATTTCGAATGGAATCAACTTACGATACGACGCAATGGTTATTCAATACCAATATGGACAACTGTCTCACTTTCAATACGTCTGAGGCCCATCAGTCACGATTTTGCATTAGAATTTCAAAAAATCTTGAGGCAGATCACTAGTAAGCTGATTTTTAGAATTTATTAAGCAAAGATTCGTGAAGATCTGTTTGGTTTGTAAATAATATTGGTTATAGTTAAATCTTCGTTGAGAGATCTGAAGATCCTCTGTTCGATGTCTAATGGGGTAGTGGGTGGCCACTAGTGGGCAGTTTCATACTAGGAGAAACAGTTATTTATTTCTCCCTAGTTTTTAGTGACACCCCAGGTAAAGTCAGTCTATGATATATATATAACAAAGGAATATAAACACCTCCAACCAAATAATAAATTCAGTTTGTTGCTGATCATACTGAAGAAAACTAGTTGAATATATCTTCCATTCAATAGTTATTTGTCGTTAGGTTTTATCATGGACTGATACCCACTGGAGAACAATTAAAGACTGGAGAAAAATAGATAGCTGTTTCCCCCTTGTTGTTTGTGGCTCAATATCAGTGCAGATTGAAGAACTTGCATAGGACTGGATCCATAATTTTTATATCTTTTGTTGACGGTTATACCTGCCAACTACAGAAATCACGACTGAATGATCAACCTTTACAACTTTAACCAATTTGGGTGGAGTGACGTTTCGAACAACAAATACTCTACAATTAAATATTATTGAATGAAAGTACATAGATTGATTATTTGAGCTGAGTACTAAGAGTATATCAATAAATTTGTAAGTAATAACTATCACAATTCGGTAATACATAGGTTTTCAAAAACCATTCAGGATTAGAAAGCTTACTTGTGTAAATTAAAAATATATTTGCAGCAAGTAGTCATTGTTAACTTAATGATTAATACAAGAACTTCAAGGTCATTCGATAATCACTCTACATATACTGACTAACACTACAGATTCCAACCAACTTGTGTTAGTGTGAGTACCACTTTAATGCATCCTTAAGACAATTATCGTCGAGCACTCAATTAATTTTTAGTAGGGTCTTAATAATCTATACCAAAGATCCATAAATAATAATCATCATACCGATATTTATTTAGAGAATATTTAACATCTGGTTTCTTTTACCTTACATTTAGAAAGAAGTATGAGTAAATATTTCTGACAGTACTGTAAGGATGAAAATTTTAATGAAATATGTTCATTGTCTTAATAGATGTAGTTTACTAAGCTTCCACAAAGGAAATTCATGTGGCCAGTGCAACTGGTTACTTAAACGGTTGAAAGTGAAGTTTTGTCTGCCAATTTATTATCAACGTCCTCAAACCACACATGAATATTTCACTTAATTATTAATAGCAAAATACAATTTATGGGTAATTTTGTTTAAAATTCACTTTTGATTAAAGTATGAAGACAAATAAATTGAATAAAAAGATCAAACTGTATTGTTCTAGCCTATTTAGTTGTTTCTAATCAGTCGATGAATTTGAGCATTATGTATACAGTATCTTAGTACCTAATGAAAAGTACTCACTTGAAATGACATTAAACCATTAAATTCATAACAATTTATTTTTAAATTTTTGAAATGCATTAACGTAAAAACAGATTAATCATTTAGGGTAAATACAGTATTTCTCAATACATAAAATGCTTGTTATCTTTTCTTATCACCTTATTACATCATTAATTACATTCTTCAAATAAAACATTTTCATTTCTATGCTAATTCTATTTAGTTCAACCGGGTCTGTTGTGAG